CACACACACACACACACACACACACACACACACACACACACACACACACACAATAAATGGATGTGAATGAGAACAGACAAACATAAGCTGAAGATCGGCAGAAAAATGTACAGGAGTATACCCCCCCTTAACTCTGCCTCCTATCATAACATGCAAGTGTGCCGTTAAGGCACACGGGGATGTGGGCAGCTGGCGCTCAACCGCAATCAACGTGGCCACCCTTGTGCGTGAGAGGCATAGTAAAAGGGGAGCTGCAAGAACAACTAAAAGTGGTACCTTAAGAAAGGGAAATAAATTCAAATAATAGATCTATTGTGCTCCGTCCTGCTTGCCATAGACGTAAAACTGTTTCTTTACTGGGTTGGCCCGTCCCAAATGTGCTTCATTGTCTGCACTAGAGGTACAGTTACTTTGATTTGGATCTACTCATCTGGTGGGACAGGGCTACACACACACACACACACACACACACACACACACACACACACACACACACACACACACACATGCATATGCACAGAGGGTGTCTGTACGTATATGCCTGTGCTACTCCCCTAAGGCCAGTGAAAAAGTAAAGGAGATTTTGTTACTGGGTACCCAGGATTTCACAAACGCAGGGCACTATTGGCTTGTCAGGTTCGGTGTAAGAAAATAACTGGAGGGATCTACAATCAAATATCCAGAAGTCACAGCTGAACATTCGTGCTTCCCTCGATCTTTTTTCTTTTCCAAAAAATTGGCTAGGATCCACCCGAGGGTGGGTACCCTATACCGTATGTGTTCATACAGTCCATAGACTATATTCTTGTCCTTATCCAGGGGGATGGTAACCTTCTCTCGCCTCAACGAACATTCCCTCTCGCTTTTTGGCATCATTGTTTTATAGTCATTTGGCATCATTGTTTTATAGTCATTGTTCATAGGGAAAGGCTTGCTGCATTTCCGAGTAACAAACACAATGTGTGCCCACTTACCTCTTTGCAGGTACACATCTGAACAATTTGGGTCAATTCGAAGTGCTTCAGCATAATCTGAAAGAACCTGCTAACAATGGGAGAATTAGACCAAAAGACAAAAGTCAAGAAACAAACGACTTGTGAGGAATCCATTCATATTTCCACCTCTGCACAGAGTAGTCACGCCGACAGTCGGCGCCCCTGGATTGGTCGGGGGTCGACCAGCTGACCATTGTACTGGTCGGCACCTACCGGTCAGAGGTCGCTCGGCACCGCGCAAAAAAAACACAAAACGAAGGGTCCAGAACCCCAAATAGCCCCATGAACACCCCCATAATGCCCCCCCACCCCCATAGCCCCCCCATACACCCCCCCAACACCCCCATACCCCCCCCTGACACCCTCATACCCCCCCCTTCTGGTTCAGTGGGATTTAAAGGATCTCGTCGTTCAACCAATTATGCTGCTCAAGCTACTGCTAAGAATGTAGCGCGTGCTGCTATTCCATTAGGAATTAAGTCAGTTGAAGTGAGAATCAAAGGTTTAGGTTATGGAAAGCCTTCGGCCTTACGTGGTT